GTTTCCCATTTTTACATCCCCCTCATTATGACCTCATAAGATGTTCTAGCTCAAAATATATACAGAAATATTTTCCTATGATTTTCCCCAACATTACCCTGAAATATTCCACTACTTGTTAACATAAACAAAAGTGTGTTGTATTTAATAAAAAACTTGAGGAGAATTTATTAATAGATTTTTTTTTATTTTTCACTGAGGTGAATTTCTATTTATTTTCCTTAGGAAAAGAAATTAAACTTATCATTTTTAATATGTTTCATAAATGGAGTTTCAGGAATATTCTTTGAGATAGACAAATGCTTGATGGCTTTGATATGAATAGATATTGTACATATATGCAATAAGTACAATATCAACTTTGGTAATTATATCGTCATTGGTTAATTATGGGACCTATGCCTCAGGAAGAAGACTGAGGGAATTCTCCAGCAGAATGTTAGACAGGTATTTGGAGAGGAGCGAGGCCTAGCAAAAATAAACCAACACAATGGGATGTGGTTGTGGTGCAATCCCTGGTCCTCCATTTCTCTATCCCTTTGGAATTTGGGGCATGTATGCACATGTGCCTGGTGTGTTTTTTAAGCTTCCAGGGCTGGATTTCAAATGCAGTCAGTCAGTCACATGAGATCTAGCTCCCGTAATCATAGACTATAAACTGGTCCCTTTCTTTCTTTGGTTTTGTAAGTTTATTTGTTTATTTCTTCCACAAGCAAGAAAGACAGGGACCAAGACAGGAACAGCAAGTTTAAGAGTCCATCCTCAGCTACAGCCAGCTTTACACCAGGAGCACAGTTTACCTTGGAGTAGTTGGGGAGATCCCTAGACACAGAACTAAAACCTTCTCATGTGAATCTGCCTCTTGGAGCATCACACTTTACTGCGGAGCCACCATCCAGCCCCTACTGTTCATTTTTATATGACCCATATCATCCTTGAGACTATGGGGGAAATCAACATAAAACATGTAGAGGAAAATGAGGGAGAAGACTTGAGAAAAAAGCATCTGGTGCTAGGCAGTGACACAGCTTAACACAACCTTCTATGAGGGTGACCCACATGGAAAGATTCCGATTCATGTCCAGAGACCTCCTGAACACACCAGGTGTGCATATTCACACCTGGGGCTGGCTGAAAGCGAAGGTGGATTGCAGCATGAGGGCCCTATTGGGAGTGCTGTCTCTTTATCTCTCTATCTCTTTTTCTCTTGCTCACAGAATAAAGTAATTTAATAAAATACCCTGATTTTAAAAAATCAGGAAAAAGAGAAAAAAACCAAGTACCCAGTCCTATGGTCAGAGAAACAATGTTAAAATTGTTGAAGACTTTTGAGATAAACTATTACAGGGACAGTTTACATAGAGCATCTCTCATCAGTTCAGCTAAGTAATTAGTGTTCATCTAATATTGGAAGTAACTCAAATTTTACCTTTACATTTCTCTATTATTTCCAAAATAAAAGGATAAAATGCGGATGTATTTTTCAATGTGTGCCAAAGCTATTAATTTCAGATGAGCACTGAGTAATATTTATCCCACAGTTATTAAACTTAATGCTAAAAATACTTTGTAATAATATCTTCTTGCAGTACATATTGTATAACTGAAACATGAGATAATTAATCAATAATAATATATTAAATAAAAAAACATTTAATATTTTAGGCAGAAAATAAAATAATATTATTTGAGACAAAGAAACAAAGATAATTTATTCCCAGCATACCAATTGTGTATTTGTGTGTGTACAATGTAAAGGACTTAGGTCAGGTGGTGTGTCTCTGGATTCCCATATAGTTAACTACGGTTTGAGTCCCAGACCCTGCAGCTTCAAATTCATGACAGACCATCAAATAGAACTACCACATGATCTAGCAATTCCACTCCAGGGTATTTATCTAAAGGACAAAGTAGCACTCAGTTGGAAAAGCGCTTGCACAACTATTTTTATTTCAGGATTATTCACAATTGCTAAGACATGGAACCAACCCAAATGTCCACAAACAGATGAATGGATTGAAAAATTATGGCACATATACTCTGTAGAATACTATTCAGCCATAAAAAAAAAAGCCCTAGAATTTGATAGAAAGTGGACCAATATGGAAGATTTGTTGCTGAGTGAAGCAGGTCAGGCTATGAAAGAGAGATATTGTATGTCTCCACTTAACATGTAACAACTGTCCGCACCCTGTGGTAGAAACTGAAAGACTGGAGAACATAAAGCATTAAAAATTGTAATGGACACTAGAGACAAAGTGGAAAGGGGAGAGAAAGAGCATAGCAAAGGAAATTTTGGGAAAAGTGGAGAGGTAAGACACTTGCAGGACACAGATAAGGTTTTTATCTGTTGTGTATAATAGTATCACCTGTTCTAGACTGAAGTGTCTATCATGCTAGGCAAAGTCTCTTCACAATCTAAATGATGTATAGCAATTTAATGTATGAATAATAATTTTAAAGATTAATTGAAAAATGACAACCCTCCACTCTGCCCAAAAAAATTCATGGCAGGGTACCAGCAGTTAGAGTAATGGCTATGTCACTGGACTCCCATGTAGT